TTAAATTTCTTAAAGTTGTGATGCTTTTCTTTAATTTTATCCCTGGTTTTTTACTTGCATCCACACTTTTCTTGCAATAAGGAACTGTTACGTCTCTGTATGTTTGTTTGTTAATTCTTCTAAGATACAAGTCCTTTCTTTATAAAACTTGTTTATTCTTCCTCAATACAACTTTGTAATGTACTTAATTTTCATAGTTCCACACACACTATAGTTCACAACAATTCACTCACTTTCTATCGCGCTTAGACATAATTGTCCGTCCCCGCAAACTATAGTTCCAATCTCTGTGTCTGCTTTCCACAGTTCCCGCCGACCGTAATCGCTGTCTTTCTTTCTCTCTGCCTGCTTCGTCTCCACTATGTCTCTGTCTCCACTGCTGCTTCGATTCCGTCTGTCTCTCTCACTGTCTAGCGCACTTATATACGATAATACTGTCTGTTCTAGAAAGTTCTAAGACTCTCAACACGTGCTACCAGCGTCAGTTGACGCAACGCTGTCGCAACACACTAGCGAATCTTCTAGAATACTCGTCACGTGACCCCCACTGTCGTAACAGTACTTACATTTATTTCAGGTGAATGGGATGAGACAGTATTATGAACTGTATCATAATGAAAAAATATGTGTATGTTAACAATTATAGAGAAATCAGTGTATGTATAAAAATTTCGTCTTATTCTTTGAATGTGTGAGATAAAATCAACTTCAAACACTGAGTGCCACAAAACATATGAAAAGAAACAGTACAGTGCAAAAAAATTTCACTTAACAAAGTTTGAGAAGTTATAATGCTAAAAATTGGGGTCTAATCCCTGTGGTAGGAACAATAGAGATAGTTAGTTCACTGTGCAACTTTGCACTTCACAACAAGCAAAAGCAGGTGCGTATAAGAAAAGGTTAGTATGTAATCTTTTTTAGATTTTACCAAACATTTCAATATTTTCCATGTTATGAAACTGTAATTATACTAGCAAAGCTTGTTCTAAAATTATATATTATTAAAAAAACAAGCGAGTTTTTTTTATGTCACATCATTTCTAAGCAGGGTTGTAATATGTCCTTCTTTTGTTCTTTACAAGTACATCAAGTTGTATTTTACCATCTTTTTTATTATCAACTTTGGCTTCTTCACCATTTTTTTCTCTCGCCAGATTTTCTTAATTTTCAAGCATTTCATATATTTGCTCTATGTGTGTTTTCTTATAGCTATCTACTGTGTCCACCGAGGGAAATTGAACCCCTGAGTTTAGCATTGTAAATCTGAAGACTTACTGCTGTCCCAGCGGGGGACTCTAGTGATGAAAGAGAATATGAGGTTGCTAAATTTATAAATTTCTTTAAAAGTAGGGAAGATTTCTCTTTTTAATTCTATTTCTGTTGATAAGAAGCAGTTTTGTAAAGACTTGGGAAACCTCTCAAGATCAACTCCTGGCCTAGAAGAGATTTTTTAACAGTTATTTAAAAAGAATATACTGTATTCTCCTAAGAATTGATACTTGGAATTTAAAAAAAAATGTTTGAGGAGTCAATAGTTTGCAATCTATTGTTAGCAAAATGTTGGAATTTATTGTCAGAAAGTATGTAAAAACTCTTGGAAACATTTGTATTTAATTAAAAAATCCCTAACATAGGTTTAGAAAAGGATTTCTTTGCTTTACTTATTACTTCTTTTGTTTTATAAAACTTCTCCTTTTCTAGATGATAACAACCAGTTTATGTTGTGTATCTTGCCTTTCAACGAACAACTGGTAAGAATCCGCTTAATTAGTAAGTTGGATGCTTGTGAAATTAGTGAAAAGCAAAGTCTAATGACAAATAGATATTTTTTTCCATCAGGAGCATGTGAATTATTGGATTCATTCTAGAATATATTCTGTTACACTGAAGACTGACAGATGTGAAATGAAGTATACATTTAACATAAGTTACAGCAATGTTATGCAGAGTTACAATAACATGGATATTAAACGCAAACGCAAACACAAATGAACAATCAAAGCAAATCTTTCTTCACAGTGGTGTAATGTATTTCACTACTGACCTGCTTTTATGTTGTTTTGGAGTCAAACTGGTTGCTCTGGACAGGATCAAGACACATCTACTCAGGACAAGGCCAGAAGAAAGAACAATGTAATACTGTCCTTTCAAGCCAGTGTCCTAGTGCAGTATACTACAAACCTTAAATTACTTACATCAGCACCTATTTCACAGGGAAAGAGTCCCAAACCTGCACCAACTTGTACAAGTGTTCATTTTGCCAGTAAAGATGGGTTTGTCCCACTCCAGAGAGAAGACACAGAGTCAAACTGTTACAAGCATCTATGAGACAGCCTTTGTGGTATGTTACCTGTACCTAAGCAAAAGATCTATTGCATGTTTACGACCTTTCTACACTATAAGGAATCTGTTTTGGAACCTTTGTTGTTCATTATTTATGTAAACTATTTGGATATATTTTTATACAGCATATAAAACTATGAAAATTGCTAATGATATCACGATGCTGGGCTAGAGTGTGAAAAATGAAATTCAGTATTTTCAAATGTAATGCTATGACCTTATGCTATAGTAATTTGGAAAGAAGTTTTCTTGCATGAGAAGAGCATTGTGTTGTGGAAAAAATAATAATTTGGGTATGATTATTGATAAAGCCTTCTGCAGTTTGTGTGTAGCTGTTGTGATTTTGTGGTGTGTTGAAGGAATTTTAAATTAAAATAAAAGAATATTATTGAAAGCACATATTAGAAATAAAGTCTCAGTTGAAGAAATGTTTACAGTTTTTATTCCCTTACTATAGGAGGACAAAAACATGTTGTAAATAATATATAGTTGGAATTATATAGTGCAACAAAAGGTTCTAATGGAATATTAGGACTAATGCAATGGAAAATATAAAATATTTTTATTTATTTATGTTTTAATACATCATGAAAGATAGTAATACAAGAAAATAAATGAAGAAGCAATCATACTACTACTAATTGCGAGTTATACTTAATTTTAATTTTATTCTACTTTCTTATAAAAATTGTTGCATCTTGGTATTTTTTTCTTTACAATTCACTGAGAACTAAAATGTATATTTGTTTTGTTAATTTGATCCAATAATAGAAATTATTAGCTAAAGGTCTAAGTGTTTAGAAAAATTGTAGTTACAATGTAAGTTTAAAGAAAATTATTTTATTATAAAATTGATTAATAGTTGTAGTTTGTAAAACTCATGTCAAATATAAAAGATCTGTATCTCATATCGATTACATGAAAGACATTTATTTTGACAGGAACTAAACAATATCCCACTAATTAGATGTTTTCTGTCACTTTAAATATATGTTAGAATAATGTACATTTTCTAAATATAAAATAATAGTGTTTACATCTTAACTCTAAATGTTTAGAAGCACTTGGGGTCAGGACCAAACATCTTGTAAAACACATATACCACAAAAATTTTCCTTCTCTCTCACTCTTGAAAGATGTATTCTCACATCTACATGTTGACAATACTTCAAGTTTCAAATAAATACCTAAAAAATAAACAGAATACAGTAGCAACACAAAATCAGCTGATTAATTTTTGTTTCTGTAATTTTATATCCATGATGAGTTTTCCCACAGTTCTGTTGCATTACAACTCCCAAAAGAAGTAAGGGGTTTACACAGCATGCTGATACTTTGGGGTTCGTCTTCTTGAAGAGCCATCATTTCAGCAGACTGGAAGTAGTTTAGTGAGCTTTCTTCTATTTGTGAAGCACTGTCCATAGAGTCTGATGTCAAATTTTGTATGTTTTGAGCTTTGAAGAAAATAAAATTATTTTAAATTTATGTATTCCAGTTTGTGTGTTGTAATATCAGATCACTCATTTGATTCAAAAATTCTCATTTTTAAAAATACTTATTAAAGTTCCTTTGAACCACATAACACTAATAATTATTCTGTCATACAGCACAGTTATTTTTTCAAACACCTGTATGATAAAATATGGCATATGGAAACAAAATACCCACTGTGAGACAAAACTTTATTTAAATGTTTTCTGTGCTTGTAATTTCTTCCTTACGTGATTTTCAAATATCTTGTATAACTTTATGCATAACATTAATGATGGAATTTTAATATTACGCTAATAACCTCTTGTTCATAATGAAATGTATGAACCTTTTATTTATTAAATAGACACCATTTCTTACAAATATAACTAGTCTTTGATTGAAACAAACGTGTCAATAATTACATTAAATTTTGTATCTGTATATATAACCCTCCCATGAAAAATTTTATTTTCTTACAGGATACTAGAAAAATGGCTTATACAGATCCAACAGTGGATGACAGAAGTAAAAACTATTGTGGAAATACACGTCTTTGGAGCTGTAGTTCAATACTAGTCAAAGCTTCTCAGGTCTGCTTATACTTTTCTTAGCAATAGAATTATTGTGAAATTTATAAAAAAAGGAATTTGCCAAAACATGTAAACTGAGAATCTCAAAAAACTGTTTTACATAAAATCTCAGACAAGTAATATGTAACTAGATTTTAATGTAAAAACATACATGGGCCAGGCTTTCTTAAGTGTCCACTTTTCAACTGGAAAATATTGAAAAAAATCTCCTATAAGTATGATTTATACAGTTCTTGAAAATATAACTACTGAAAAACCTTGTACCAAAAATGTAGCACTCGGGCTACATTCTCATATTTTTATACCTTGATGAAGATGACTACTGTTTTTCACATGTGTTCTCCTTTACCAGATTATATTGTCCCTAGAACAAAAAAGGCAAAGAGCAAACAAATTGTAAGAAGGTTTTCCCTTCTGCTGCCTTTTTCCTGTGATAATATTTCAGCTGCTGACTTTGTTTACCATTCATTTTAAGATATAGATATGAAACCCATCACCGAAATGCATACCATCTCTTTATATTAGCAAACACAGATGTAGAAATAAATGTGATCTCCTTTACATTTCTACAGTGAATCCAGCTATAGCAGGTTAATAAGAATAGTTATTTTGTATTAGACTACTTCCACAGATCATAAATGTAAGATTTTATTATAATGTCATTATACTAAGAAGTGCAAAGCATATATAAAGAGTTGAATTAAAATGGTGATTTCCTTTACCCATTCTGTGAACTCCTTTACATGCATCTCACCATGTCCACAATTATCTATTTTTACAAACAGGTCCCTAATTATCACTCACAGATTTAGCTTTGTAATTTATCAGTCATTTAAGCCTAAAACTACCACCACACACACCTTTTGAATGTGAGTTATACAGTTAAAGAGATGCACATCTGTTATGTAATCTCAATTTCAAGGACTTTTCTCAAACAAAAATGAGTTGATTTGTGACTAATACATTTCAAATCCACCCTACCCTAATCATCTACACATGGTGGAAACTAAATATGGTAGAAAAAGCATTACACACCGTATATATTCTCCTCTGAAGCAAAGGAGTTCACGCAATTTCATGTTCAATGATTTTTATTGAAGAATGCAATTTACTCTTACCCTGTCAGTTATTGATAACAACAAATGTCTTAGCTGTTGTGTATAAAAATATAACAAAATGACATAATTTGAGTATCTACACTAGATATATATACATAATGGAGATCATGTGCTTAAAAAACTCACTTTATTACAAGCTCCAAATGGACATACCCAAAATATCTCTTGATACCCTGTGTAAGGGGTATGATCAAATCAAATTATATATTTCCGGAATTGATTTTAGACTCTAATCTTTTTAATTACTCAAGAATTTGTAATTATTGTCTTGAAAATAAACAACCATAAAGGAGAACACATGATTATGGCAACATGTTATTATGGATATTTTTATATGTGAAAAGTAATGGGG